AACATTCAAGGACACACCTGCACCGTAGGAGAACACATTACTCAAAAGGACCACATGTAAGGTCAGCCAACTTCACTCTTGATGCAACTTATTTTGCACAAAGTATTATACTGTATTTATTACCACTTTATTAACTAGCTTCCATGTAAGATATGTACAGTAAGTGTAACCCTCTGAACAGAGATGTGGAGACCTTAACTGAAAGGTAAAATAATGCATGACTGCCTGGTTTTCAACAGCACCAGAACCGATAATGTTAATGATCTTTTTTATGAATCAGGACCTGATCATGAATGAGCCATTTGTCAAAGGACAATAACAGCAGCTTCCCATCCCAGGTGTGTTCCTCATCCTGATGCCTGTACTGAATGCATGTTCTGCATGCGTTACACCTCTATCATGTCTTTTCAGTTGTGAAGCACTTTCCAAGCCATCAGATTCTTCCGCAATAGGTCAGATTATATTCACTGTGACCATGAAAAATATATTCTATTTTTCTTAACTTTGATTTTCTATGAATTATTTTACTACATGAATTAGCGAATGTACTTCTTTGATGCAAATAAATGTCACTTTAATAAACATCCATCAAGAGATATAGCATTGGCTGATTTTGTTAACAGTGAAATATAATCACTGGGTGGTAGGTGTTTCCTGGAGGGACATTTATGTAAACTAAATTGTTGGGGGAAATGATAAAACTGAAATCAGAACATACACACTCTTGTATTGACACACACTTAAGAAAGATATATTTTCCAGGGATTTCAATGGAATTTCTACTACAGTTTTTCCACCTACAAATAAATGCTGAAAGGTGATTTTCCTCTGTTACACCGAAAAAATAAAAAGTTGCTGTTTACTAAGAGCTTAAGGACTGTATGTCATACTGTGATCTTTAAAAAAATGAAACCTGAGATAGACAGCAATACATTTATACAGTTAACTCAAAGCAAACCATTTAACATTAAACACATTCCGAACTTAATCAGGCGATGGAAAACAAACCGTTTCACAAAAGTAGAATTAGCACACTCCTAAGAAGAGCCAGGACAATAAAACTGTCTCCTGTTTGAAGTCATACTTGCAGTGTGTATTCTCCTATATAAGCAGCCAGAACGCACATATATACTATGTCATGTTTGAACAGCAAAATGTAACCAGAGAAAACATTTACATTTATGGGCTAAACTGTAAGTTGTTCCAAACGCTATCGTACATGTCAAACAATTTGCAGCAGTGATATTAATAGTGAGCTCTTTAAAGGTGCAAATCAAATTTAGTAAAATGCTTTTGTTTGTATTGATTCAAATCTGGCTTGTATTCCTCCAATGTACAAGAACAAATTAGCTAGATATAATGAAATAACAGTATGGCTAACCTGGGGAAGACTAAATCAGAATGAGTCGTCTTGTTACCTGATAAAAGGGTTGAAGGGTCACAATATACATACTGTACAAATATACACGACGAATACAATGTTTACCAAAGACCGATTATAATGAGCTTCACTGGATTCATGGACAGCAAACAAAACACTGATTATTTAGCCCTGCGGTCAAAATCTTTAAGATCCAACACACTTTTCCTTAATATCACTCAAACCTACTTAGCAAATGAGAATGGAACATTTACAACAAGGATCGACAGCTGTCCTTACAAGAAGCCTTAAAGCAGTGCAGCTCATTTATAAGTTGAAGCATACCTGTAGTCATCAGCTAATCCATCAAATACTTTGCTACCCTCGCAATTTCAAGCACTGCTAACAAAGTAGTATCTCAAGCTACTGAGCATCAAACTTAGAATATGGCTAGAAAATTCTCCAGGTCACACTGTACAAAAATGCATCCTCTAGTGAGATATGATTGGCTTTACTCGCTATCCTTTCAACTCAACAGTGGTTCATTTCTTTACCTGAAACAACGTAAACCATGGGGAAGTGAAAAAACATTCACTTTCAATTAAGGCAAGAAATCATTATCCAATGGGAGAAAACGCAAGAACATCTCTTTCAGCACTCTTCTTATTCTGCAACCGACCATAACAAACCCTGAATTGATTATTATTAAATCTAATCAACAAACACAATGCAGTTTTATTTTCAGTTATTCTAGTGACAGTAATCACATGGATGAGCTAACATAGCATTATGGACCACTGCCATTATGTTATTAAGAACAAAAATGTCCTTATGGAGTAGGAGCCAAAGAACATGGCATGCAATTGAACCACTTATTTAAGTAAAATGTACATGTATCAGAGATGGTATAAATAACTACAACTGTAAACCCCTTAAGAGCAGCAGAGGCGCTCCATATTGATAAGAAAACTGTGAGCTTTGGGTGAAGGAAAGACAGAGGGGCTAAAGAAGGAGGTAGATGTATGTTCATTTTAAACTCTTTAAACAAAGAGTGAAATCTGAGGCAGAGGTGTGTTGGAAAAAAGAACATACTGTGTCTAAATAAAGGAGGGAAAGGGTTTTTGGTTAAAGAGGAAACTTGAAGTCATATGCAAACATTAGGAACAATGTTACTTTGGGATTCTTGTTATGCCGGCTGTGTTCTGCAATGTATGAATTCTCGCGTGCTTCACTTTCAGCGCCTTGGTTTGCAAACATGTATTCTGCATCTGTGTGTGCATTTTGTTTAGATCAGTCTCTGCTGCGCGTGCATCATCAGCGAAGCAATTCACGAATCCTCATTCAGCTCCCGACTGTCTGTTCTGGCTATTTTCCGTGGAGGCGCCATGTTCTCCCCCTCTCCTTGTTCCTGCTCTCGCTTTTTTCCTGAATTCTGATAAAGTAAGGAGGAAAACCAAATTCAATAAACCAGAAGTAGCAAAATACATGATCACTTCTGTCATAAAACAATACAATTAGCATCAACTCTCTCCTAGATTCATTCTACTCTCTTTGATAACTGTTTACCTTTTTGTCCCACTGTTGATGAAGATATCGCAATAGGATGTTTGTCTTCTCTGTGACGATGACTGAGGAGTAAACAAACACTGATTAAATCATTCAAAGGTTAAAAGGGTCTAGAAAAGTAATAGAGCTGTTGAAATCAGCTGTTCCCATACAGAGTGTTTACTGTAGGCGATTTCTTCCTCTAATGGAAACAGAAAATGAGAACATTGCTAAGCAAAAGAAAAGTTGTGATGTGTTCTTAGAGTATAATATTGGTTATACAGATGTAACCGACATATTTGATCAAATGTGATAGAAAGTGGGCTGTAGTTCTGACTGCTCTTTAAAACACTTACTCTGCTCTGATGGGTACTCCCGGGTTGGAAGATACACAGAAGGTCGTCGGTTCTAAAACAAAAATGATATCCATGTCAGGTTAGAATTACCTAAAACAAAAAGAAGTACTACTACCATGTCACACTATTTCTTTAAACACCCTAATAACACTGCCAACGTGATTTAATCATTTTGAGAACAAAGGAGATCACTTACTGATGCTTTACATACTGAGTCTGCATGGAACCTACTGAAGTTGCTTTTGTTGTAGACCGGTAGTCCTTTCAGGAAATCAGACTGTGAGTAGAGGAGACAAATATGAACAATAACCCTTGCCAGACAACTACCATATCCACAACTGGTTAGTAGAAAAGTACTTCTGACATTTGACTCAATAAATGGGCAGTGATATGGTACACAGTGACATAGAATGCATTTACACTACGGTCTGTTTACTACCTCATAGCGTTACGCACTAGTCTATCTAAGTCGATAACAACCAATTATGTTATACATTTACCTCAATAATTAGACAAAGAACATGCTGTGAATCTACCTTCTCCATTTTTGTCCGAGTCACGCTCCTTGCTTGAAGAGAAAACGATCAGATGCTACTGTTTTAGCTAGCTAGCTACTAAGCCTTGTTGCCTTTGTCGTGGCCAAGATCCCGGTTTGTTTACCCGTCGGACAGCTTCCTACGACTGCTGGAAAACATAAACTACGTATGACTACGATGTGATAGCATCATGCCACCTTATTCATCCGGAAACTTCCACTCATGTAAATGTAATTACATCAAAACTGAAACCGTACGTCCTTTGAGTGCTAACTTGCTACTTGTTCACAACTCCATTTTTGTTGTCCGTCTGTTCGGGGCGGTTACCTTCTGAAAATCAACGCACTGCATTGGTTGAGGCGTGAAGACGGAAAAGGCAACGCGCTGATTGGCTAGACAGTGATTATGTAACAGCCCAATCTCCCAATGCGAAGGGGCCTGTGCCCTGAAACTCAGATGAAAACAACACAAGCACTTTTTAAAGCATGTCCTCCCGATGGTCCTCCCTTATTCACATTATGTATTTATGCATCTCTCTGCTTATTGCTGCTTGCGTTTAGGGGTTGAGTTATGATAGGTGACCGTAGGTAGGTAAAAATACTGAATTGATGTATAAGGCTTAACAGCACAGCAACCCCACTGTTAAACTCTAAATTATTGATATTAAACTTCACTATCTAGTCTAGTCATCATGGTGCATTACTAATCAGTTTCGTCATTAAATTACACCTTATGTCAATATCTGCTTATTTTAGTTATGAGTGTTCATATACAATGCAGTAATTAGTAAACTAATATTAGTACTTTAAATCTATTCATGCCATTAGTTGTCAAATGAATGTGCTAAAATTATTAATAGCAACTTTCCCAAAATTGGAAATAATTTTTGAATGAGAATGCAAGAGATACATATATGTCAAATATTTCTGGCATATTGCATTATTAATTAATGCCTCCATGTTCTCTACTTGTCTGACTTTCAACTATTTTGCCTCGAAAATGAAACACCACTAATGGTATTCTGGGTCACACTGCCTGATGAGCGAAAAGGACACTTTTTCTAAAAATTAAAAGCACTTAGCTTGATTTTTATAGTTAATTAACCTACAATGTTTATACAAACAATTGATGGCAGCAAACGTGGAAGTTTAAAAAAAACAATCTTTGTGAAGTATTTATTTTTCAATAACAAATACAAATTCATTTAAATTCTTCAGGGGTGGTTTTTATTTCATATTAAACAAGAATTTGGTTTTCATTTGTGGAAAAATGATGACAGTGATCATTTTGTCATCCATTAACTTCACACAAGCAAAAAAACAAACATTAATTTAATGGTAACAAACACAACTTTATGGATAAAAAAGACTGGGTGAAACTACCAGTCTTCTTTTTACCAAATGCAAATTATTTGTCAAAGGCCAGCTTTTGCTCCCCACCCATGAGTAATGGAAAGCAAAACCCAACCCACACCCAGTATCACCGTTACACAGGGTCTTTGCTCAGCACCCTGAGCAATGGCAACTTTTCTGAGCCAATGTCTTTTTCTCAAAGACTGGCAGGTTTTCCGACAAGGTCCTTCAGTGTGTGAGTGAATGCCGCCCCTTCAACATGCGCCTCAGAATCACCTCGATGCCGCTTTGTGTGCTGATCCTCTTGATCCAGCCGTGGGTCCTCTTGCGTTTGATGTTCTTGGGCTGATACTCTGTACCTCTCTTCTTTGTCCGAATCTGCTGGTATTGCCATGGAAGCTGTTGGAACACTCCTGAACCCTCAGCTTGTGAAGAAAGCAGCCCACATCTGGAAATAGTAGGTCTCACAGCTGCTGTGGGCACCATCCAGCTGCTGAATAGTCTAAGGTGAGAGTTGCCAGGTATTGCAAAGTTTCCTGCAGGGATGCTGTGGACAAATGTTTACAAATGTTATAAACAAATCATTTTGTATTCTTCTTCCTGTGTCTCTGCATGCACCACTTATACCAAAGCAAATTCCTCGTATGTGTATATATAAAACTGATTCTCATTCTGATTCTTTATTACCAAGTTCGTTGTATAATCTAGAGTGCTGCTTTTTATATTTGTTCTCATGCACGAATCCAAAGCATTCGTGTCAACTGTTTACACAATAATTAAATATATGTACAGATTGAAAACACATCAGAACTGTAACTGTTACTGCTACTGGAATAATACGAGTAAACACTGCATACAGATGTAAATCAAAAGTCATTAATGATAAGTTAATTAGCTATAATTGAGCTATAATTGAAATAGCCTTCACCTTACTAAATATATTCTTCAATCAGTAGCTAGCTGCATCCTTAACTAGCCACGCTGCTAAGCTAGCTAGACAATATTAGCACTGTAAACAAACACTGGTTTTGCCGTTTGTCTAACATGGACATACGTAGACTTTGTTACCTGGTGAAATTGTTTATCCCACGCAGTCGGGAAATAGATGACCGTATAATGTTCATTTTTAGATAGCTATACAGTTGACACAGACATAAGAACAGTGAATGTCACAGGTCTGCCTGCGTATATAAAGCAACACGATTGGTTAAGATGTTTCAGCCAATGAGAAGGCTTGTTGCTGAAGATATTGTATTGGTGCCCCGAGTAATGTTTGTCACGTCAAACTCACAAGAAGTTTACTGGCCAACGCCACGGTGTTTCAGTGCCAGAAAAAGGTGTATTGGAACAATTAATTAATCTAAGACTGACAGGTATGATTTGAGCTTAGCATCTGCCAAATGAGGGACACGAAACAAGGTAAGCAATGGCATTTGTATACAGACTGAGATGACTCGATGCCTGAGAAGTTTTACCTCGGGGTAACATACACATCATTGTACGATTCACAACCATGGTTCACAGTACACTACTGCACAACCCTGTGGAGAGAACTAAAATAACCCTCTCTTCACATCATTTGTAAGTGCAGTCTTCACAAATCAGTGCACTGCTGCCCAACACTTTACTTAACCTGCTCACTCAAGTAATGTAAACATTACATTATTAATCTACTTTTAACTTTTGTTCATCCAAAAGTAGGCTACATTTTCAACGTTATTTCGCACTAATTACATATCAAGCATGTACACTTTAGTGTAACGGTAGTCCAGTGCCAAATTAAAGCTTTGACAGTCTGGCAGCTAATATCATAAAACCACAAATTAAAGTAATTTAGGAATAATGTAGAATTTGAATTATAAAACAATATGTCACCAATTTCCACCAAATTAGGGGTCATTCAAACACATATTACAATGTATTCTATATAACAATGATGAGGTTGTCTACATGAGGAGATATATATATATATCCCCTCATGTAGACATACATGTAAATACATATATATGATGTTGTCAAAACCACAGAAAATACTTTAAGTTATTGTTTTTATTGTGTGCATTATTTGACAACAGATGTCATTTGAGTGCCATTTGGTGTCAATAAGGAACATTCCCTTCCTTACAATGTTGTTTGTGAGCTGATGTGTTAAAACACAATTCCCTATTGGCTATCATGGCATATTTATTGACCTCATTGATTTCTGAACCATTTTATTAAAACATCAATGTGCGGTGTCTATAAACATAAAGCACTTTGTTATTTACATCGGCTGCCAAACAATGACAGAAAGCAGTTGTGGGCCCATATACGTCACTGCTGGCCATTCCGTGACAGGCACCGCACTGTCCACTCCGGGCACTGTAGCACCGACGTGTTGATGTGAGTCCAAGGGTAACAGCAACACAGCTCATCATAATGTTATTGGTTAAAACCATAGACTGGTTCAAACTAAAGGTAATTTCTCCCTTCAGTGACGCAGCACCTGGTAAAAACATATTTCAGGTGTAGGTTTAGGAAAATGCAGTGGAGATGATTTATACCCTGGTGAAGAATTTGAAATTGTAGGATCACACGTGCAGGCCTGATCATGACCATGTGCTGGCCCATTACGACAGCTGGACAATCATTTTTGATCATTCCTGTCACTCTCCCTGACTGCAAGCACGCGCGCACACGCACGCATTTTGCTACTCTCTCAGCCTTGGCAACAAGGAAACAAGCCTTTCCCATTGGCCTCCTCTCTGTGATCAGCTGTCTTCTATTCGCCCTGCTCCCTGCCACTCAGGAGCGAAAATGCCCGAACACTGCTGTTGCTGCTGCGGATACAGGGCAGCAGGGCTGGGTAGGGTCTGAATGCGCAGTGGATGCTGAGGGAGAGGAAACAAAACATTGGTTGTTATCGTTATGGATGTCGTATTGACATGCAATTGCCACACTCTTATGGATGCATGCTCAATCCCCTCCGTGTTCAGTGACAGCAGTCCAATGAAGCCAATAACAAGCGATTACTGTTTTGCAGCATCTTTAGTGTAGACAAATTGTTACACCAAATGCAACGTTTTCCCTCTTCAGCTTCGTCGGCCCTTCATCTGTTGGTGCAGATTTATATTCACCCTTAATCATCTATAATTCTGCAGGTAAGGAATTTATTTTTTATTGCATTATGTATTTAATGAGCGAATGTTTATTGTGCATCGTTCAGCATTCATAAACATCCGCACAATGTCTGCATGCATTTGTTCCTTGACTGAGCAAAAATAACAGATCTATATAATATGCAATTATGGCACTCCACACCAGACTGCCACGGATTTCTAATAATTGTTTTAATTTGTGATGTGATGATTTTAATTGGGCCTATACATAACACTCAAAATGCCCTTCACTGGGCATTTTCATTCTATTCAGACATACATAGACCACTAACAATACTGCTGTTTATGGCTACATTTTTGGGGAGTCAAATGCTTGTAGAATATTATCTTGCATTTGGCATTATTAACTGAAAATAGGTGACAATGCATTATTATTTTCTGATATAAGCATTTCCAGTGGAAACAACAACACTGCGGCTATGTGTGTTAGAAATATAGAGCAGCTCACTGTGTTACTCTACTTAGCAGACATGTCAACCTTAATATTCTGCACTGCAGGCAAAAATGCATGAGTAACCTTCAGCCTGTTTGACTTTAAGGTTTGTGGATCTAAAATAATTTCTCTCACACAGATTCAAATCCAGGTTGACCGCATGTTCATACATTAGTAGGTGAAGAGGAGAATCCCTGATTTAAATAACAGGGTAGTTAATCATGTTAATTTTGTGGTAATGGGGTAGTGTGGCATTGCATCAGGGTCATTCAAAGTGGTAAACATGGTTATGTAATATCCTGCTATGTTGTCAATAAATACACCTTTCCCTCATTACCACTTGTAGCTGCTGCACAACTGATTTGTTCATGATCAAATGACAGAATGGCTTAAAAATGTAAGGTCCATCATGTGTAAATCTATAGAAATAGATGGCTGTATGTATGGAGGACAAGCAGAACACACTGCAGTGTTGACATTGATGATCCATTTGGATTTTTGTGGAGAGATGGGCCTCTGTCTCAGTCTACATTCACTTGGCTCCAGGGTGTAACTGGATAGCACTTTATCCACTGACCTTCAGACCATTCTGCCACCAACAACAACACCACGCACCGACACACGCACATGTCTACCCTCCTGTGCGTGGTTTTTTTATTTCACTGTAGAGCCAGCCCTCTGAAGCACCATGTATGTTTAATTCATTTACCGTAATCTAGAGGTTGGTAAAGCTTTAACCAATAAACGTTAACAGATGTACGACGTATGGTGAACTATTACAGTGATGTTCTTTAAATACAGGATATGCAGAATCTAAACGGGATAAGCAGTATGAGATACAATTGTGTCAATGTTTACAGTTTATATGACTTTAATCAGGAGAAAATCTTTACCAAAAAAACAACAAATTGAATTTCAATGTGGAACAGTTCTGACTATATGTTAAAGAGAATTTATAGTCATCCGTTTGTTTAATTTTTATCTCAAGATGTGCTTTCTTATTGATAAGCCAATATTACTTAGGCAGATTGAAGCCATAATCTAAATTAAATCACATTATGTCATGTGATAGTATACTGTATGCAGGGAAATCCGCCCTACGTATAAGCAGTAATAATGCACTCTGTGTCTGTAAACAGGAAACAATAAAGCCTTGTCATTCTGTGTCCTAGAGATAACCAGCCTGCGTGTACATAACAAGTTAGGACTAATGATGCTTAATTTACACAACTGCCAAAATAACTGCGACTGGACCTGTGCGCAATGATGTTCTTCCCTTTTTTAAATGTTCCCTATCTCCATTGGTATCAGTATAGCTTGGAATACAGCAATCATACTGTTATGAGACATACCATTCATGTACACAGACATGCCATATGACTGTCATTTTCTATTTATACTATGGACCATGCAAAAAGGAAGGGTTATTTATAGCAAACGTCTAGGTCAGCATGTCAATTGCCGGTTGTCACTGACATTGAAACTGTAGTACAGCCCAGCACAAGCATGTTTTTTTTTCTTCCCTGTTTATGAACTTGGAGATCCTAAATGTTAAGCTGCTTTGCCACCAAGGTGAGTCGAACTTAACAACGCTGCTTTAGCTACACTTATACACAAACTATGGTATTTTCAATTTGCAAAGCAGTTTGGAGCCTGTTGAAACTGGTGCCTTCTCTCTTCACTGTGTGTGGTTTGATAAAAGGAGTTAGCAGACTGTTCTATGGAAACTGCGTTGCTAGGCAACAGCTTGGGTCCAATTTGATTCACATCAAGCTTGGACCCAATTTCTTTGCGTTGAGCTGTTGACATTTGCTAATACTGCAACAGGAAATAAACCTGAAACCATGTTTATGTTTGAATCGATTACCTTTTTTTTTTAAACTGGAGAAGGGTAAAACGTTTCACAAATATTGTCTTTCATGTTGTACTACATTATCTACATATTCACATGTTTTTGTTATGCATCTGAGTGCTGAGCTGCTTTGTTATGTGTGTTTCTGCAGGAAAGCACTATGCTGACCACTATCACTGAAGGGATTCTCTGCTGTCTGACTGGGAAGGCTGCCAGTCTGGTCTTGCCTCTGGAGTCGTCTGAACCCTCTGATGGGTTTGAGTTTGTGGAGGTGAAACCTGGGAGAGTTCTGCGAGTGAGGCACATCATCCCAGAGCGTCCCGTGGTAACAGAGGATCAAGTTGCAGGCAAAGGAAATACAGACGGAACTGATGATGATGTTGAAGGCTCTCTTGAGGAAGATAACGAAAGCAATACCGGCAGCAGTGTCCACTGCAAGAGGAAGATCACAGTCTACCGCAATGGGCAGCTGGTGATTGAGAATCTCGGCGATGTTCTGCACTCTGAGATCCTGCAGTGTCAGGATGGGGATCTGGAGCCTTGCAGCACCGTAGAGGTGGAGTTGGCAGACTACAAAGAAATGCCCTCTTCTCCAGACCCCAACTCTGCTCCTCCTCCGGTTCCCTCACCCCTTGGGGAACATAAACCTGCTCCACCGCCTCGCCGCCGGCGCCGCAAGCCCAAGCGCACCGTGCAAATCGACTCAAAGAGAGTCATCTCCAGCTGCAAAGGAACACACTCGGACGTAGCGTTGTTCTTCGTGCACGGCGTGGGAGGTTCTCTGGACATTTGGGGCAGCCAACTGGACTTCTTCTCTCGGCTTGGCTACGAGGTCATTGCTCCTGACCTGGCGGGGCATGGAGCCAGCACTGCCCCGCATATTGCAGCGGCTTATACTTTTTACGCCCTTGCAGAGGACCTTCGTGCCATCTTTAAGAGATATGCTCGTAAACGCAACATTCTCATTGGCCACTCATATGGGTGAGGATGTGTAAAATGCTTTATTATGAACCTTATTTAACCATTTACTTATGTAGTAGTGATTATACACTTATCTCTTCCAGAGTGTCATTTTGCACCTTCCTGGCCCACGAATACCCTGATCTGGTCCATAAGGTGGTGATGATCAATGGAGGCGGCCCCACAGCTCTGGAGCCCAGCCTTTGCTCCATCTTCCAGCTGCCATCTTGTGTCCTGCACTGTCTGACACCCTGTCTGGCCTGGAGCTTCCTCAAGTAAGATATGCATTTGCATGCCAACATTTACTCTAGTACAGACAGTGACAGATACAGAAAAATTACATTGGAAAACCTGAAATATAACTTCCCTGTCTTTTTTCTAACCTTTAGAGCTGGGTTTGCCCGCCAAGGTGCCAAAGAAAAGCAGCTGTTGAAGCAGGGCAACGCCTTCAATGTGTCTCCGTTTGTGCTGCGGGCCATGATGAGTGGTCAGTACTGGCCTGAAGGGGATGAGGTCTACCATGCTGAGCTCACTGTGCCCATCCTTCTGGTTCATGGCATGTGTGACAAGTTTGTGCCAATGGATGAGGACCAGCGCATGGCAGAGGTAAAACACGTTTTCATATATGAATATTTGCTATTTTATCTTGTGATATGTAATGTAAATGGTATGTGCACTGTAGTGTTATACTGTTTGTAATGTTCTGTAATCATCTTGGCTGCCTTTCCAGATCCTTCTGTTTGCATTCCTGAAAGTCATCGAGGAAGGAAGTCACATGGTCATGATGGAGTGCCCTGACACCGTCAACACCCTCCTCCACGAGTTCTTTCTATGGGAGCCTGACATGTCCAGGAAAGACAGCAGCAAAACAGACACGGCTCTCACTGACTCTCTCCACACACTGAAAATCAATAAGCCTGTGGACAAATAACCAACCGGGAGACTAGTTTTGTTATGGAACCAAGCAGAAGGCCTTTTATGGCATGTGTTCTTAAGGCTGCTCCCAGAGCTGTTATAAACAGGGCCTCATCTTCAGGATGTGGACGGCCACTGGTGCTCCAAGATTAAGCAGGACTTTGGCATGTTGCCGACCAGGGAACGATGGAACAAACATAAAGATAAGGGGAATGGATGGAAACACAGTCAGTTTTTGCTTCGCTTTAATTGCAATTTGTGCTTCATTGCGTCATGTTTGCAAAACGACCCAATACTTGGACGACTGTGTCCATTCGTGATTTGAGTATGAAATATATCTGGTGAAAAACGGACTCCTACCACATGCAAGAGGCATACAATTCATGAAATGTTGATGTGGTGATTTTCATCTCCTTAAATATTCTGTATAGTACTGCAGAACTTCTGATGTACCTTTACAAAATGGTTATTAACTAATCATTGGATCAAACTTATATCTGCTTTCATTGGGAAACTGTGGTGAGTTGAGGAATTACAGATCTGATGTGCCAGTATGACAGTGAAGGACAGCTTATAACAAAAACAATAATAGTTTATTACAGAATAATAAAAACATTGAATATGTACTGTCATTCATACATAAGTTACATATTGCCAGAAAGAGGAACACAAAATCCATCGTCCACCTGCATTTCTACCACCTAATAACCCCATCCACACCATGTGCAGTGTTCACAGTCTCAAACATTAAGACTCACAATCACGGTTATTGTCAATAAAAATGCTTCATCTATTTTCAAATTACAGCAATATATTTTCCATATATTGAACTCTTATCTAACTCAAAAAGCTATGTGCGTCTATGTTAAGCACAATGTAACCAACTCATGAGTTCATAGTTGCATGGAAATCAAGTAATGCAATGAGAGATTTATCTGAGCTGGTTACAAAGAAGATAAACAAAAATGGATGCCCTAAAGTTCTCCTTTATTCAAGCAGCTATGGCTGCAATAGTATATCATATCCTAAGGATAATAAAAAAGTACAGAGGCCCTGCATGAGTTCAGAATATGAAAAAGTATCAGGATTGTGTCAAACAGTTGCAATATATTCTTATATTGAAAAGTTCCCTGTGCACTTCTCTCTAATCACTTGAGTGTTCTTTCAATGTGTAAGTATTTTTTTGCCTTTTTTTGAAATAACTGCCATAACAAATTGTGGTTGTATTGACCGCTTTAAGCTGCTGAGTGTGTTGCTCTAAAACTCTGGAGTCCATCATATGTATCGAAATGTGTCAAACAGAAAGAAAAATATCACATTATGCTCGTAGAAAGACATTCATTCATGGGGGCTACTTTGTCTCACAGTAAGGTGCAAGTAAAAGAAAATGTGTAAACCTGTGTAGTGTCCAAAGCTTGAAATCAAATGTGAGTCAGCCAAAGGTGAAACTCCCTTAGAAAGAGGGACAATTGTACGGACTATGCTGGTCTGTTGAATATGCATTTTGACAGAGTGCTGATGCAACATGACTGGTCTTATGCAACAGGAACAAAATAGATAGAATTAGAGTGGACATAAACTGACTTGACACTGACATCTCAAATAAACATCATTTATTCTCTATGAACTTTCCAAAAACCAACAAGTGCTGCTGATGCAATGTACTGTATGTCTCCTTTTGGTGTTAAAGGTCAGTAAAACTGTATGGACGACAGGGTGCACATGTATTTCCTTTTATGCTGAAAGTATGCATATACAAATTGTCAGTGCTCAAATGTGCTATATCTTTTTGTGGTTAACAAAGTTGTGTTAATGTTATTGTTGCATTTATTCATGGGAATCATAATATATGCACTGCCTGAATGTAGATGCATATAACAGTATATACCCTATCAAAACTGTTGGATTCAGTGTATGAATGTGCCTTTCCTGGCATGAAATAAAAACTATGTTCACAGCTGATTTTGTTTGTTTGTTCTTTTGCGATTATAGTCTGGTGTACCTCGGTTAGTGATATTGCAATTTACACATTAATTATGTAGACATTTTGGTGGACAACATATATTCTTCAATTCGATCATATAAATATACAGTATATTCATATGAGGACTGAAATTGTTTACATAGGCTTGATACAGGACAAAACCACATAAGTACTTTCAGATTATATATAGGCCTACTAATATATTTCAAATGCAATTCATTTGCATATCCTCATAACAGTATATGTGAACGTTTGAAGCACAATTGGACAACATTTTTGATTTATTTGAAACCTTTACTATATCTTAAATAAGTATTAAAGTCTATTACTATTTTTTAGAAGGTTATTCTTTTACTGCCAATGTCGGAGATAGTAAATTAAATGTCAAACTGATTACATTTGATCAGTAAGAATAGATGACTGAGTTCAAAGATGAATATAATAAGTATAAATAATAAAACAATCAAAGATCAATTCTGAAGTTCCTGGACATCCTGTGTTTAATTTTCTTAATGTTAACAAAATCGCTTTTCAAATACAATTAACATGCATCCAGCAACATCTAGACAATATGTCTGTTAATATAATTATTTACAGTCATTACAGAAAGAGGAGATTTAAACATCTCATCATATGACGAGTCATAGGAGCCGCCCTCTGATTGGCTGAACGTGTCCCATGCGTGTTGTGGTAAACAAAATCCGAGATGCGTGAACATGCGTAAAAGTGGTAATGGAGGATAGTGGTCTATTCACAGGGGGTTTAGTTAGCAAGCTCTCTTATTTCTCCTATCTTCAGAACTGCCGGTTTTGTTTATTACGAGTTGTTTACAACAGAAGGGAACTCGTCTGAATCAACCCAGAGCAGGCTGTAAGTACTTGTCTGTCGAGTTATCCTACAGCCGTCCCAGAAAGCTAGCTTTTTAACTCACAATGCTAATCTGATGGCTAACTAGCCGGAACTGCTAGTGTCGATGCTAGGGGGCGGGTGTCGTCTATTTCCTGGAATAGATATCACTGACTTGGCAGATGATAGTTCACTTTATGTACTGTCTGTGAGGCAAAAATGTGTTTAACGTTGAGTATAGGAAAACGCTAACTCTATTTGTACAACATACCAAGTATTAAGTTAGGGTTAAAGCTAGCTCTGCCCAAGTTTGCCAACGAAAGTGCTTTGTAGGATGTAACGCAGCTTCGTTTTTATCTGTAATACAGGAAATAGTCAGTTCCCATTAGTATTAACGTGAATAAGCTAGCTAGCTGTGTTGTGATTATTACTTTCTCCTTCGAGACACTATGCAAACAAGATAACATGTACATTTGCACTGTCATGTAACTTTACGTGGCCACATTGAAAACCTTCACGCTATCCGACTAGCTAATGCTATGTGTCGGTGCATAACGATATTCGTTATACAAATTAGGTCATGTTTTGGAGCAAGTTAGCAAACACGCTAATGTTAGCCGGCCTGCCACAGTGGGGCTGAATTAAAGAGACGCGGGTTTAGCCAATCAGCGGCGGTTTTAGCTTTTCCCTGTCAACGGTATCCCGGGCCACGGTGAGGAAACGTATACAAACCATACACTGTATGATACAAACACGTACTATTCAACAGCAGTGTTGAAAAGTAACTAGGTACTTTTACTCAAGTACTGTACTTATACACTTTTCGGAGACTTGTACTTTACTTGAGTATTTCAATGTTTTGCTACTTTGTGTTTCTACTCCACTACAATTCAGACGTAAATGGTCTACTTCTACTCCTCTACATGTATTCAATACCTTTAGTTACTTTGCAGATTTTGAATAATATTCAACACTTAGGTCTTGAGTAACACCTAGAGTAAAATTCACAAACTACTCGGCAGCATTCAAATGAATTAAAACTAGCTACACCTTTACCAGCTTCAAACACATTAATGCATCAATAATTATAATCAAAAAATATAATATATTATTCTGAAATGGGCCAATTTGCATAACGAGTACTTTTACTTTTGATGCCAATACTTTTGTTCTTTTATTTGAGTGACATTTTGAATGCAGGACTTTTACTTGTAACGGAATATTCCTTCACTCTGGTACTTTTACTTTTACTTAAGTACAAGATCTGAGTACTTCTCCCACCTCTGTTCAACAGTGACATTAAAGCTTAATGGCTCTCTATACTATTCAAAAGCACTTTTATTATGAATATAACAATTCCAAAAATGTAAACCTATAATCCCTCTTGAGGATTTTTTGAGCAGAAATGAAATGCAAACACTGTTAGCAACCAGTTTGAGAAACCCTGAGAAGTAAATGTGTTGAAATATAAAATGTTTTATATTGTTATAGATACTTACCATTACATTCTGTTATAATAATTGAAAAGTAGATGGTAGTTGTTTTCAGTCATTCAATTTAGCTCTAGAGGTGCAGGCCAGAAAGGCAGGACCCAGTTAAAGATTCCTTGTTGTGGGTACTTATAAATCATGGCAAAGCTGACTTAAAAATATACTTAATCGACTCATCATAAAATCCTAATTTCCTATTTGCAATCTGCAGGAGCTGCCATTCAGTTTTGGGATGGCGTCGGACGGGGTTTCCCAAAACCATGGTTCCAAAGGGATCATGACTTTTTACCCCACTGCTGAGGAATTTAAGGACTTCACCCGCTATGTTGCATATGTGGAGTCCCAGGGAGCACATAAAGCAGGCCTGGCCAGAGTGAGTACAGACACACTGCATTTGTTCAAACATGCCACGACTGACTGCTATCGGACAGTTTTGATGGCTTTGTTTGCTATGAAATGATTCAGTAAAGGGTATCTGTTAAATCTTGTACATATTAAGTAGGGGTGTTGAAAATAATCGTTTCTACGATGCATTGCGATGCGGACGTGGACGATTCGGTATCGATGCAGTGACGGAAGATAATCGATTATAGCGTAGTAACGTTGCTTCCTGATTTTCCGGCCGCGGCTTTACTATAATGTTTTTTTTTTCTGTCACTTTAATATAAAATCGGTCGGTGACGCAGAGATCAGGGAACAGACGTGACAGCGGCACAGCAACACCAAACACGGAGCAGTCTGCTTTATCCACCAACACAAGAACACCAGTCCAGAACCAACAGCAGAAGGACCCGCTCTGAATCACTCCGTGTCGCTGCGGCTCAGAGACACAAGGATTTATGTTTTTCAAAAATAATCGCGTTAAAATCATGTCAGGTTTTTGGTGGATTTAATTAAGTCTTGGATTGCAGAGTATGAATGTCCTCTAGCAATTTTCAGACGATATATACGTGTGTAAAGTTTGTGAAGGCAGGAGGAAAAAAGCTTCCGCGATCACCGTCTCCTCTCCGTTCCTCCAAACCCCGCCCCCTCCCTGAAAATAATGAGTGACAGGCTGATAGTGACCCGATAGAAACTTTATTATTCACTTAATCACTGATTGAGATATAATGAAGCTAACTTAATCTCATACATTCATGGGATTTATGTAACAGTAAGACAGAGAATGTAAGTGTGCACCCACATGCAGTATTTTTGTTTGTATATGCTATTGTAAATACTCCTGTTGTCTGCTGTGTTCAGACTCAAGTCCTGTGTGTGATGCCACATTCAGGACATTCAGTGTCCTTTCTTTAACAGAAGACCGTTGCTAGAAGCTGCAGCTAGACTGCAGAAGCATTAGTTTTTTGTTTTTGAGGATGGAACAACTTCACACAGATATAGGGAGGCTAGACCTATACAATTGATTTATTTTGGTTTATAAATTAATGTCAAGACATTTATGTTATTGATTTCTGAAGCACTTTCTAAATAATAAAAGAGAGTTCATATGTATTTACTGCATGTATGCATTGATGAAAAATAAGCCATGTGCAGTAATATAGAAAATTGAGGATGCAACGCATTGGTATGAATCGGGATATTGAATCTAATCGTTGACAGGATAATCGTAATCGAATCGTGAGACCAGTGAAGATGCACAGCCCTAATATTAAGTGATGAAAAACAAATATTGCCCAGCTTGTTAGAAAAATAAATGCATTCATACCTCTAAGCTTCGCTGGTGAATCATTGTGATGACTCACTGTCCGCTTTCCTCCTCCAAGATTGTCCCACCAAAGGAATGGAAGCCCAGAGGCTCTTATGACGACATAGACGATTTGGTGATCCCTGCACCCATTCAGCAGGTGGTGACAGGCCAGTCGGGCCTTTTCACACAATACAACATTCAGAAGAAGCCCATGACTGTCGGAGAGTTCCGCAAGATTGCCAACAGTGACAAGTGAGAAGTGCAGAAATAAAATACATTTATGTCATTTTTTCTTCGGTTAACAGAAAGTCTGTTGCATCTGCAAAAGTGCTGCTAACTGTATCTTTAACCATATGATGGTGAAAGTAAACCTATGGTGTTTGTACTAATGATCTATTTTGTATGCAATTTTTAGGTTCTGTAGTCCACATTATGATGACTTTGAGGAGCTGGAAAGGAAGTACTGGAAGAATGTGACGTTTAACCCTCCCATATACGGGGCAGATGTTAATGGATCTCTATACGGCCGAGTGAGTGGACATTTCTGGGATTTGTGGCTCTATCAAATGTAAAAGAACATTGATAGGTTTTGTTATTGCTGTCTGTGCACTTCTTGACCTGTAACACAAGCGTTGCTGATAACATTACTGATTATAGCGATGCTTATTACTGTATCCAGTCTCACTTGTTGATCTTGTATTATTTGCTCTACCCTTACAGGATGTCAAAGAGTGGAACATTTGCCACCTGGACACCATTTTGGATACTGTTGAACATGAAAGCGGCATCACCATTGAGGGTGTTAACACACCCTACTTGTATTTTGGCATGTGGAAGACCACTTTTGCATGGCACACTGAGGACATGGACCTCTACAGTATCAACTACTTGCACTTCGGAGAGCCCAAATCATGGTATGGAGGAAATAAACTTCCTTTCTTTTAAGTCATTCATATTAATACTAAGACCCTTTTGCAGGATTCTCATTCATAGCATTCGTTTCGATGTCTCACTATGGGATGCGCCTCCTTGCATATGCCTCAGAAGCATAAATCTCATTACGCCAATCCTGATTGGCTGGTGATCTTGACGACTACGTCACGCTTCACCGTCCAGAGCCTCCACGACGGCTAGCACGCCAAGCTAGCCTGTCGGGACGAGCTCTGGCTTTGATGCAGCAGCGGTGTGAGGCCAAAAAGAGAGAAGACGAGGCGCTCCAGCTCTGTCTTCCCCGGAAGGTCCAGCCGCCGCCTCCGACGGCCCCGCGACAGACCTTCGCTCAGGCTGCCTCGCGACCCTCCCAATTTAAGATCCCGAAACGGCCAAAGCCACATCCCGCCATGAGGCGAGGACGAACTGGCCAAGGAAGTCCCCAGCCCCGACAGCAGGTGCACCGGCACAGCCGGCCCAGACTTTCGGTCATCAAGCGAGGAGGAAGAAGAAGAAGAGAGCGGCTTGACAGCCTTCCCTCCTCTCCTCGGTGGAAGAGCTGGAAGTTCCCCGTTCTCCAGCCCCACCTGTTCTGCGCTGGAATGTGCTTCTGGAGGCCCCCCATGCCCCTGACTCCCCGTCGCTTGGTGTGATGTCCAAACGACATCCCCAGGTTCGCGCCATGAGGAAGGTGGACTCGCTCGCGCATGTTTGGCCGCCGGTCCTTCTGTACGCGTTCCCGCCCCTGGCTCTAATACCTCCGACTCTGTCCAGAGTGAGAGAGCATCGCCACACGCTGATCCTGATAGCTCTGCACTGGCCTGCAATGTATTGGCTGGCGGAGATACGAGGCTGCTGTGCGGGTAGCCGTGGCAGCTCCCGTTACGCAGGGACATACTGTCTCAGGCAGGGTGGACTATTTTTCACCCACACCCGGAACGCTTGGCACTATGGGCCTGGCCCGTGAGTGGTATAATTTGCGTACAGTGGGGCTTCCTCAGAAGGTGATAAACACTATTCAGAGTGCAAGGGCTTCCTCCACCATGTCTCTTTATGACTGTAAGTGGAGAGTGTTTGAGGAGTGGTGCCTCCAAGAGGGACACGTCTCTTTTCAATGTCCTGTCGGTGTGATTTTGTCATTCCTGCAGGACTTGATTGATAAACACAGAGCTTTCTCTACGATTAAAGTGTACCTGGCTGCTATTGCTGCATGCCATGTGGGTTTTGAGGGAAAAACGGCTAGCCAACATCCCTTGGTCTGCCGTTTTATGAAAGGGGCTCGCAGGCTCCTCCCTGTTTCCAGGTCACTGGTGCCCCTATGGGACTTGGCAGTGGTTTTAGATGGGCTCACTCGACCTCCATTTGAACCCCTGGAAGAAGTTGACATGAAACACCTGTCACTGAAGACAGTGTTGTTGCTGGCTCTGGCATCCGCCAAGCGAGTCAGTGACATTCATGCGCTCTCTGTACATCCTTCATGCACTCAGTTTGCCCTGGGGCAAGCAAGAGTGTTGCTGAAGCCTAACCCTGCTTTTGTGCCCAAGGTGGTTGGCTCATGCACCCCCATTGACCTTGCGGCATTTTCTTCACAGTTATGTTCTTCTGAAGAACAGCGGTCGAATTTGCTATGTCCAGTTCGTGCCCTGCGCATCTATATGGACAGGTCTAAAGAGTTTCGATGCAGTGACCAACTCTTTGTATCCTGGGCTAACCCTCATAAGGGCAAGCCCGTTACCAGGCAGCAACTCTCCCACTGGATTGTGGGAGCGATAGCTCTGGCTTATACGAGTCAGGGTTTGCAGGCACCAACGGGCCTGCGTGCTCATTCTACTCATGGCCTGGCTACGTCCTGGGCTTTGTTTAAGGGTGTTTCCATCCAGGACATTTGTGCAGCAGCAAGCTGGTCTTCACCGCTCACTTTTGTCCGTTTTTACAGATTGGATGTCTCTGCTCCAAGCGTGGCCGTGCTGGGCTCAGGGTCCGCGTTGGGACAGAGTTCTACCTGTTGAGTACTGGTGATTTTCGAGATAAGCATGTCTAGCAATACGGGAGTCTCAATATCCCATAGTGAGACATCGAAACGAATGTTATGAATGAGAACTATAGGTTACTAGTGTAACCCCGGTTCTCAGAGTAACACGAGTGAGATGTCTCACCAGACAGCCCTTCTTCAATCTCAATCTTTATTTATTTATATAGCACATTTAAAACAACCTTCAGTTGACCAAAGTGCTGTACAGGCAATAAATATTAAATAACACAATGGGAGTACAATAATAAAACAATAATTAAAAACATGATAAAAAGCACAATAACTAGAAAAATATTTTAAAAAACACATACAAATGTAAAAATGTAATGTTCAACTAGTATTAAAAGCCAGTGCAAAGCCTTCTTGCTGAGGCGAAGCGAGAAGAGGTGCTTATTTTGAATGATGCTGCGTCGTAGCGCAAGCTACTTAAAGGGTGGGTGGATTCCCTGACGTAGTCGTCAAGATCACCAGCCAATCAGGATTGGCGTAATGAGATTGATGCTTCTGAGGCATACGCGGGGAGGCGCATCCCATAGTGAGACATCTCACTCATGTTACTCTGAGAACTGGGGTTACGCTAGTAACCTATAGTTCTTATTTCAACTTAGTTTTGAGTATTATTATTTTCATATAATTGACACTACTGAAAACACACTTCTAACTTTATAAATACTTGTATAATCAGTGTACGGTAATTAAGAAGACTTATCTGATTATGTGCAGGTACTGTGTTCCTCCAGAGCATGGGAAGAGATTGGAGCGTTTGGCTAAAGGTAAGAGACAAACGCAGTATTTTCTGTTTATGCATATAGTATATAGACCATTCTTTATTAACCCGGCCTTTTAACACCCGTCTGCCCTCTATTCTTCAAGGTTTCTTTCCTGGTAGTTCCCAAAATTGTGAGGCCTTTTTGAGGCACAAGATGACTCTCCTCTCTCCCTCTATTCTGAAGAAGTATGGCATTCCTTTTGAAAAGGTGGGAGGAATATTATTTGTTTTTGCCCTTTTATACATACTGAACAAGCCAAATGTATAACCTGCAGTCTCTAATATACATATTTGTTACCTTTCCTGAAGATTACTCAGAGGGCTGGTGAGTTCATGATAACATTTCCCTATGCCTATCACGCTGGCTTCAACCACGGCTTCAACTGTGCAGAATCCACTAACTTTGCAACAGAGAGATGGATCGAGTACGGCAAGCAAGCAGTTTTGGTGAGGACCGCTCAAGGACAGCATAGAAAACCCACTTCGAATAAGACGTTATTAGTTAGAAAATAATGTATGTATAGTAATGTAAACATCATAATTTGAATCGCAACCTTTTTGTGCTCTACTTCTCTTTAGTGCTCGTGCCGCAAAGACATGGTGAAGATTTCCATGGATGTATTTGTAAAGAAATACCAGCCGGAACGCTATGAACAGTGGCTGGCAGGAAGAGATGTGGCCCCCATCGACCACACACGGCCCACCCCAGAGGCCAAGGAGTTCCTAGGGGACCTTACTGACATCACCTGCAACAGTAACTCCATGGAGAGCTGTGGGGAGGACGGAGAGCGGAAGAGGTGGGTTTATTCTATAGAAGAGAATGTCCTTGTGTATATGTGTATGTGTTTAAATGGTTTATGGTGTAAGTTAGGGGTGTAACGGTATACGTATTCGTACCGAAATTATTCGGTATGGGCCCTTCGGTTCGGTACCGAAGTGTACCGAATGAATATAACGTTAGACGTAAAAAATTGAGAACGTAAACAACTTTTTGGAAGTAATCGCAGGTGCTGCGTCGCAGCATTCAGTGTCATTTGCTCACATTGGGTTCAACGCGTCATAGAGCAACCAAGTCATTTCATTGGACGAGAGGCATACTATGAGAGCTGGTCAAAGGGATGCGTTCAAATTTAGTCAGTAATTTGAGGAACTGGCGAAATGGCGAACGCAGATAAAGTTGAGCTCGAAAATCCTCCAGCATCATTGAAGTCTCCGGTTTGGGAACATTTTGGTTTCGCAGTTACGTACAAGGATGACCAAAGCTGTTTGTCGGCATTGTTCAACAAAAATTGTTTACGCGGCTGGCAATACGTCAAACTTGCACACATATTTGAAAAGGCATCACCCGAACGTGAATATCACCGATACCAAAAGAAAAATGACTGAAGTGCAAACCCAACTCCCACTAGCATTTAAGCCTCCACCACTCGCAACAAGTTCAGACCGAGCCAAAGCTATTACAAATGCCAAATATCCTTATGTTGCCATGTTAGCAAAGCGCTACCTGGCTGTATCTGCTACCTCTGTCCCTAGCGAGAGGGTGTTCTCCACAGCAGGAGACATTGTTAGTGCCAGCAGATCTGCCCTTTCGGCAAGCGATGCTGACAAGTTCATCTTTCTTTAAAAAAACATGAAAATACAATAACAAGCCTAATGTCAAGCTGGCTGCTTAGGTACTAGTACAGTACAGTACAGTTCAAGTACAGATTATTTCAGATCATTGAAATGCTGCACCTTAATGTTTATTTTATTATATTTTTTATTTATTTGAGTGAATACATTATTCACAGTTTAATAATAATAATAAAAAAAATATATATATACGTTATGTTTTGTGATCATTTTTTCTGCTGTACCGAAAACGTACCGAACCGTGACCTAAAAACCGAGGTACGTACCGAACCGAAATGTTTGTGAACCGGTACACCCCTAGTGTAAGTGTTAAAGGTCCCATGTCATCTCATCTGCGAGGCTAGTGGAGCCTCGCAGATGGCTATTCTAGTATACCTCAACAATGGAATTATGATCAGTAGAAATGGCCATGACATTGGACCTTTAAAGTACAAAACTAGGGTGATTTAGTAATCGCGGTTAATTTGCACTCTCTGTTGGGAAAACCCATGAACATCTCAGTATTATTGCATAATGGTGTATGGTTATTACAAAATACTAAACACACCTGAACTTAAGAACGGCTTTTAAACACAAAAAAATACAATATAAAATGCTGAATTCCAGTTACTCTTAGATTATGGACCAAATTACAGCAGAGCAAATCGGTACTAATTACTCTAGACAAATAATAAACTTCTAATAATTAATATGTGTTTAATTTTAGAAATAACATTTTTGTTGTAGGAGGTATTTGTCAAAGTTTCAGTTACTGTAAACAGATAAATAAATGGTGTTTCTAACACTATCCTGTGCCTCTGTTTGGTCCTCAGCGCTACACACAGGATAGAGACAAAGAGACACAGAGTTTGTCTGGAGGTGCCTGAGGAGGTTGTTCCTAAGGATGAAGATGAGGAAGATGTGGAGCAGTATGGGAAGCGTCCCAGACTAAGCCTTATACCGCCACGTACTATGTCACAAGATGGCAAGAAAATTAAAGGTATTGTCACTTAAAAACTTGTTTCCTGTATGTCTAGACCTCCTAAAAGTTGTTTTATTAGTATAGTTTTTTTCTCTTCCACTTCCTAAACAATGATCTCTTATTTACTTTGCAGGCCCATCCAAGCTGGTTGTCACACCAACCAAGCTCACATTATTGGATCCATTTCACAGAAGTGACGTCGTGCGCGCCCCACACTATTCAAAGACTCGTGCTCCTGCTATCTCGTCGCAGTCCCAGCCCAGAAACGGACATCTGTCAGTTTCAGCTTCACCTTCGTGGACAGAAGCCACCGCTCAGCCTTCACGCAAAATGGGAGTAGCCAGCCTGCTCTTCCACAGGACTCTGGATCCTAAAGACACTCTCCAAGTAAAGAGCTACACTCTGGTGAAGCAGCAGCCTCACACACAGCTGCAGGTGCACAGCTACGCCCGAGAGCATCAGTCCCGTCACCTCCAGCACAAAACCTGTACACCATCAGTCGCTCAGGGCCAGCCCTCGCCTCAGGCACCGGGCTGCGAAAGAATAGAGCCACAGCCAGAATCCAAGATGATTCTTCTTACCAAAGCAGCAGTGAATGAATCAGAAGCACTGGGTCTTGTGGAGCTGGACCAGAAGGAAGAAAAACCTGAGGTATCAATCACTGCTGAGCCTCTGGCTGAACTGAAGCCCACTATCAAGACTGTTTCCTCTCTGCCTCTAACACAACTTAAAGAGTTGAGCAAAAAAGAGATAGAGGCCCCTAAGAACAAGCGAAAGGTATGTTTGTTTGTCATTTCACTTTGGTATTCTTTAGAGCATGCATTTAACAGAAAACAACAAGCTTTTCATTCTTGGCTCTCTGTGCGCACGTATGTTTGAGCACAAGTTGTGTTTTAGGTTGCATGCACTAACACCTAATGATCTAAACTAACTCATTTCTAGTTCTCATAAAGGTGTGTCTTTTCTTAATAATACAATTGTTCATGTAGATACTAAAAATGGAAGGGGGAAAAAAAGGGACAAGACTTTTTGGTGGCTCTGTACTGGTGCATTTTCCTTGCATGTTTCTTGCATACTCCACTCTGTGACCTCAGCATTACTACTAATTCTATTAACACTTTACACATTTTATTAACACCTTACTAATCTAGCACAACAATTCTTAGTGAGCTTTCTGTTGGCAGGCTACACGTTAACAGGCATTATTGATAAAAAGGTCTGCCCTGAATGTTCAATGTTATTCATGCTGTTCATATACAGAGTAAGCAATCCCCCCTTGAAGATATTGGCATTATCATCCTGAATGACACCATTCCTGTCAGCAAACCAGTCCAAGCTGAGGTGAAGGTGATCCCTCGGATTCAGCACGTAAGTTATTACAAGCTGCCACCAAATCTTAAAAAGACCCAGTATTTATCTGGAGATGTATGCATACGAGTACAGAGCTCCCAATATGTCTGCAAATGGGCTTACAGCTGATCCAGTGCTACAGATGCAGCATAATCCTTGTTTTGAAGTTTTGCCTTGCTATACACTTGTTGCTCCAGCAGGTGTCAGAAGAGCAGTCATACTGCAAGTCAGTTGTGAAGAAGCTGCAGCAGCAGCAGGCGCAGCAGGAGGAGCACAGTGACAATGGTACGCACTTGTTTCGTTCATAATTTAGTAGTAATATGTTCTGTGGTTACAGGTTACCTAGTAATCATGATATTTTGTCTTTTTCTGATTACTTATATTTTCAATTTTTTGATCATGGTCTACATTTGTTTCTAATGCTTCCACAATCTTTATTCACACTCATGTCTTACCTTCTTTTTATCGTCCTATCTGTAGATGATTATATAAAGGAGGAGTTTGAGCAGGAGGAGACCGAGGAGTGGGCGAAGCCGCTCACCCAGCTGTGGCAGTGTCGGCCGCACAACCCTCAGGCAGAGAGAGAGTTCAACAAGAGCATGGGCAAGAAGGCGCCCTACTGCTCCATCTGCCTGCTCTTCCACACCTACCATCAGGTCACTACTACAAGCATGTTGTGCTTTTAGGAAGTTAACTGTCAGTTTCAGTTCTTATTAATGGATATCCATAGTCAGCATTTCATGAATAATTGTCATTTATGACAAACCGCCTCTGGAAAGACACAAATGTAGGTGTGAAAATGGTGCGATAGAATAATTCGAGTTGAACATAGATGTCTTTATTTACTACTTTACCTAAATTGTTGTTATATCTGTCGTAGAAAGTTATGATTTGTTGCTTATTTGCAAACAACTTGTATATGATATATATATATATATATATATATATTACTTAAAAACTAACTCTTATAGTTTCTTAGTGAAACAAATGTCTCATTGTAATATATAATTTTTGTTAACACAATTGTGCATTGTTTAATCACTAAACGGGTTTGAATGTGTGTTGGACAGTTCTAACTGAGGAAAGCATCCATCTGATATTCCCAAAACAAGCCTCCTTTTTCCCCCTACCCTGTAGTCTGAGTCCAGCAGTGGGGGTTCCAGCGGGGCGTTGGTGAATCGTCCAGGGGGCCGTCAGTTTTCCAAGCCACTCATCCCTGAAATGTGCTTCAACACACAATCTAGCAAGACGAATGATAACGGGGAGGGCCAGCTGTCCAACCCTCATATAGCCGAGGACGGGACCAGCCGGCTGGTCACCTGTGCTCAGTGCTGCGTCCGCGTACATACCAGTAAGCATCTGTTAGGAACACTTCAGGGGATGTTAAGTCAAATATATCTTACATTTAGTCATTTTGGTTTTCCTTAGGAAATACAAATCTCAATTGGTTATTCTTAAAAATACTGCTTGGCACCAAAAATGTATTCTGGATAAATATGCAAACACAATAAATGAATCTGCTGGAAACTCTAACACAGCATAGAGCCTTACCTACAATTAATTATTTGGTTAAATGAAGTGCCATTAGTTGAGTAAAAGTTAGTTTTTTTTGCAATTTTTTTATTATAATTACTCCGGTATTTTCCAACAGTGTTTTTTTTGGTTTAGCCTAGTTTGGTTGTTCTATAGCCTAATGACTTTTTTTTTTTTTTTCCTGTAACCAAATATGAACAAAACCGTGGAGGGAAATGCATAATGTGAATTTGTGACACTTTCTGTTCCTGTTCAGGTTGCTATGGCGTGTCGGGGGATGGAGCAGAGCTAGACGACTGGCTGTGTGCCCGCTGTGATGCGGGAGCCACCACTGAGGTTAGTTTCTTTTGGCTGCCTATAGTAGATAGTTGTTATTTAGATTCTAATAATTTGAATACTCAAAACAGTCAACCCATACAAATACAGCTGCAGAGTTGTTGTTTCCCTGTGCGAGGTGGCCTTGTGTCATAAACATGTGCTGTTTGTTTAACATCAACAGAGTGTTACTGTCAGGAAGTCTAGCCTTATGGATTATAATTTAATTGAAGTACAGTGAGAAAATTGGTTGGAATAGTGTAGTGAAATGTGACTAAAATATAGGTAAAACATTTGTGCATTAGTCAAAAATAAGAATGAATAATTTACTTGGATATGTATTTAAAAGCATTGGCCTTTGCAGATGTTTGTTTTTCTAATGTCAAATAGTGAAACCACATGGTGGCACTGGAGGGGCTTTTTTTAATTAGGAAGAAACGGCTGTTTCTCTTCCTCAGATCAGAGAGCAGTGCGAACAGTTTACAGTGATCAGTATGGAATAACACAGGAACACTTCAATATTCCCATGCAGGGAAATGAAATGAATGGCAGCTGAGAGGATGATGGCAACTTTGTTTTACTGCAGATGTTTGGTTTGCTTTTTAAATCCATCAAACAGATGTTTGGGCATGTGCACCCTGTTTCTAAGGCTCATCCAGTCTCTTTAAGTCAGTCGTCATTTTAGTCAAAGCAAAGTAAAACACATGATGACCCTTTACTGACCTTATGTGGATTAATAGTTACAGTTCCCTACCACAGCAGCGTTTGGCACACTCGTACACGCTTGGCTCTCTGTGCTCTGCAGCCTCCTTTGTTCTGAGCCGGTGACAGTGTGTTCTTCCTTTCTGTGTTATTGTTTGGGGAATTGTTTTTTTCAAAACTTTGTATGTAAAATGTATCTTTAAATTTCCTTTGCTTACAGCATTACTGTCTGCTGAGAACAATAGGTTGTTGTGAAGCATGCTGGGAATGTGGCTGAACTTTGGCTCACACACACGTTTGACCACCAGTGGGCAGAGCTTCCCTTTTACATCTCATTCATCATCTTATTTTCATTTATTCCAGTTTGATATCAGAACATTGAATGCACTTTATATTCGCTTAGAGGATCTAGCCATCCCTGATGTTAACTTGGCAAAGAACTACATCCGGGCTCTCAATGCTCAAAGTATTTCTTTCTCACCATACAACTATACAGAGCCAACAGATTTTCCCATAACGCTCTCATGTAATATTTTGCATATTTAAGCATATCTTTGTGTGATATCTGTGAGGAAAGACTAGAACGGTTATAACAGGATTTAGATAGGTGACTTGTTGAATTAGACGATTGTCAGCAGGACTTTGAGGGAAAGTTTGAAATAAAGGCAATGTGAGTGTTTTTAGTCCCGAACCGGTCTGTTCACTTCATACCTTGACACAGCTGTCTTCTGGTTATTAATAACTGCCACCCTGCAGTCAGACTGTTTTACGATTATACAACTGCCATATCAGCTACACAGTGGTTTTGTGATAAGGATTAGACTGAGCTTTACACAGCTGATACCATTCATTCAACAGAGGGAGGGGTCTTTGTTATCTCCAGTTTAAGCTATTGATAATACAGAGCATTATATATCCAAAAGTCAAGATTATATTGGATGTGATATAAATCAGGGGTTCCCAAAGTGTGGGTCGCGAGATGGTTACAAAATAAAAAAAATTGTTGACAGGGGTCGCTAGTCTCTGGCACTGTTATTTTGGGGGTCGTGGGCTGAAAAGTTTGGGAACCCCTGATATAGATAAACACCTCAGTTGCGTGATAAATAATATATCATGGTTTGTGTTTCTTCCCCTAGGACTGCTGCCTTTGTTCCCTGAGAGGCGGCGCTCTGCAGAGAGCCAACAATGACAAGTACGTGATTGCAGCAGACAAAAGAGCTTACGTAGTATAAAGCTGTATTTGTGGACCAGAAGCTGCATTACAGAAACTACACAACTTTACAAGTTAACTTAATATTGATGTTAATATGAGCTGGGTACTAGTTTAAAACAGTGAAAAAATAAATACGTTTGACAATATTGACCTTAATGTGCACAAGTGTACAAAACGGGGGTCAGTCTTTTGTGGTAACAAGCTAATCATTTTAGGGATAAAGGGAGTTTGGTTTTATGGAACTTTTTTTCAACCCTGGTGAAGCATGAGTGGAAGTGTGTGTTGAAGTGCCTTTGCTTCTCCTTAAAGATTAAGGATCTTAAAGAAATGTAATGTAGAAAAACATTTTTCGCTAACGATGTCTCACATTTCCTTTTTTCTAAGAAATGTCCAGTTCCTTTTTCATTAGAATGTCTTCATGTTCACAGTCGTAAACGTGTCAAAGCAAAGGCAAGAAGAAAAAGCAATCACAGGATTTATGATGTTCACAAAACAGCGCAGACGTGCTCGGATTGGTTGGTACACAACAGATTGTCAACCGTGTTTACCAGTTTCTCTCCTTTGACCTCATTAAGTTTGTTTGTTCAGTCTGTAACTGCTGGAAATCCATCTGATGGATCAAGCCCCTCAAGCTAAATACACGTTTTAATTGCAAACACACAAGAGTAGAAGTGTGTGTGGAGGTGTTACACTCTCTCAGCCTGCGGTTACACTTGGCAGAGTAAGTGAACATCAGTTTAAATGTCAGGAAACACGTTGACACAGAAGCGAGACGTTTTCCTGTACAAACCGTTTCTTATACCAATATGGGACTTCCTATTTTTTGTGCAGACTAATCCGCTTTATCACTCTTTAATCGATTAGCATCCCCTGTTATGAATGGGCTCTTACAGACCAGACCATAATACAATTATTTTGTATAAGCTGGATTTTAAATTGTTGTTATTTATCTAAGCACTTCAAGTTACAACATGAAATGCCATGGAAAATAAAAATGTTTTTTTCTTTTTTTAATCTCCAGTGACTGATTACTTTCAAACACACTAGGAGAGAACAATGTTTTCTTTACGTTTTAGTCGAGTTCAAACGAGTTAAGCGAATGGTTTTTGCTCAAATATAATTGAGGAGGTTATCTCCAAAGTGTTGAACCGTAATGCCAATCCATCACGCTGATGGTCATCTCCATGACAACTGTGAGAATAAAACCTGCTGAGGCGGAGGGCCTGAGAGATGATGCTGAAAGCTCTAGCAACAAGTCAGAAAATGGACATTGACAAGCTTATTTCTGTTGTCTAAATACTGTTTTCAAAAGTAAATGATTATCTTTCATGACTGTTTGTTCAAATACAAAAAAAATATATTGGAATATTGATTTATACACATTTATAAATATATTTTTTTAGCTCCAGACAATCTTAATTAAAAGAACAACAATTGATTATACCAGATTGTTAATAATAATGCATTTTATTTATTAAGGCGCCTTTCAAGGCTCTCAAGGTCGCCGTACAAGATGCAAAACACCAGCAGAAAAAAACAAGACAATGCAGTAATCAATAAAAACAGAGGTGGTGTGACGAATAATGATCAGGGTGGAAATGCCAATGTGAAGAGATATGTTTGGTAGTTTTTCTTTTAATCCCAGTCCAATTCCTACTCTAAACCTATTATTTAATTTGGTAACCACGTTGTTGAATGTGTGCTCTTCCAGGAAGATTGCACCCTGGACATTGAATTGTTTGTTCTGAAACCTCTTATTTGTCTTTCAGGTGGGTTCATGTGCTGTGTGCCATCACTGTGCTGGAAGCTCAGTTTGTCAACGTCACTGAGCGAGGACCCATCGACCTCTCCACTATCCCCGTGACACGCTTCAAACTGGTAAGCCTCCGTCAGTCACAGTGACAGCGGCCTGACTGCCTCTACAGGGCGTGAAGGTCATACCTGATAATCGTTGACCTAAGTTTCTGTTTTAAAGTACTTCCATAGATTTATTTAATGACAAAGGCCAAGTTATTGACTGTGTGAAACATGCGTCATGGAGCACGTAGTAATGCCAGCTCCTGGTAAAGGCAGAGACATCACTGAGGTGATCTTTAACGTGAAGCTGTGCACATTAGAAATGACATATTTTGAGGCGTGTGGCGCAGTGGATAGAGCCTTGGTGTTGGGATCAGGGGGTCACAGGTTCAAACCCCACTGCAGTCAGCATGTCGTTGTGTCCCTGGGCAACACAATTCACCCCAAATTGCTCCTGTGGGGATTGTCCACAGTATTGAGTATGTAAGTCGCTTTGGATAAAAGCGTCTAGTAACAAGTAACATGTAACATATAAACGCATCCGGGTCTGGAGGTTTATGTCAATATGGAAGCAGCGGGAAGACGGCACTATTTTGTCTACCCTCTGTCCGCCCCCAGCAAGATATATTATGAAGATTAACAACAGGGGGAACGTGTTTCTATATCCACTCGATTTTCTGAATATCTCCTCATCACCCGCAATGTCCTTTCTGTATCATAACATTACGGTGCACCATGCGTCATCTAACGCTGTTCTTCAGCCGTATTCTGTTCCATTTAACGTCCATATATGATTGAGAAAATGACTTTAATTAACTTTACCCACCTTTATCCCCTACTATTCCTCGAGTGACTTAATAATTAAACGTCTGGAGTTAAGTACTTGTTCGCAAAAGTTAGTAAATCTCTAGATCAGGACAAGATTTTCCATGATGTACAGTCATTACATCTATCAATGAACCACAGCAATGTTTTTGAATTCAAGGGCCAGAATTTATCCAACAAACTGGGCTCATAATTGTTATTATTAATCTCATAATACACCTATGAGGTCAAATTAAGACCAATTATAAAATATGCCACTATTATACTTAATTTAATGTGCTTTATGTGTTGAATCAAATGCTTTAGATGTGACAATAATTATTAATTAATTATTGTTTTATTAGGGCAATATACAAATATCTTAATAATCAAATTGATTGCATTAACTATTTTCTTTCTCACTTTTATCATAATGCCTAATTATACTTCATGGTTTTTACTACTAAACCCAAACACAGATCGGGTCGTGGAGTTTTGTTCTCATGGCATGTGTTGGTGGTTCTCACCATGGAGACACAGTCCAGCCGAGTGAAACTGCCATGGCGCCGGGCGGCGGTCCTGACTGAGTTTCACTTCTCTATCTTGCCATTCATGTTTCTAAAAACTGTTGTGTAATGAAGCTGTGTCATTCCGACCACGTGATTACAAATGATTGGTCATAGTACACAGGATTTGAACTTGATGTGAAAGGAAGACAGTATGCTTCTTGTGAATGAGTCGCATGCAAACACATTGATATAAATGTGGGCCTTTCTTCACAATGGTGGCCTTGTCTGCATTGTTATAGGTTTTAGATATACTTCTAAATAAGCACATATGATGTCAGAACCCATTGAAATATCCAAAGGAAGTTGTGTAATTTCCCTCCTTACATATCTGTGTTCCAGTTGGTGTCTGGGTCTGCCTTACCCTCACTTTGATTTCTTTCTCCCTCTCATTCTCCCCTTGTTTCCTCTCTCTTCATTTCCTTCCCCTGTACTTCCTTTGCTTTAACTCGTCCATTAATCTGTTCCCTCGCCACACTTTTTTTCTTTCTTTGTCGCTCCTGTAGAAGTGTGCATATTGCAGGAAGCGGATGAAGAGGGAGGTGACGGGCTGCTGCGTGCAGTGCTCCCACGGGCGCTGCTCCACGGCGTTCCACCCCACCTGCGCTCAGGCCGCCGGCAACCTCATGCACCCGGAGGACTGGCCCTTCACCGTCTTCATCACCTGCCAAAGACACAAAACGCCTGCCATACCCGAGGTAACCAGCAGAAACACAGTTACACTCGTAGTAAAGAATAGGGTTCGAAAGCTCACATCATTTCTACTTCTGTTAACTTGTGAAGCTTTTTGTTTAAATATGTATTTGTGTGTTTGAGGACAAAGGGTTAATTGGTTGGTAACCCTATGAGACACTTTCACTTTTTGCTCTGTGTCTGGTCTCACTGCTTAGCTTGGATAAGGTTGTTTGGATAAGTAATAAGTAAGAAAGCCAAAAAAAGGAACTGCAAATATTATCCCCCCCAAAAAATGATAATGATTGATAGTGTTTTAGATGTTCCCATTCCAAGAAGAGCTCTACGCTTGAACTGAAAAGAAAGGTCAGGTTTGTGTTTTTCTCAGTTCTGCTGGTGAACAAGGTTCCATGTAACGATGATTTCTACAGCAGGAAGGCGGCTAAGTCAGCAGGCCCAAACCATGAACTTAATATAATATGGTGTCTGATTTAATTTGAGTATGCAAGCCTCGACATATGCTGTATGATTTTAGGTATTTTTTACACCGTCTTAATAAATCCTCTGCGATGTAAAGCCAGAGCTAAAGATTTACGAGCTGACACTGTATGGTAAGATCGTCAAGCCTCGACATGAGTCCTCACAGTACACCTGAAAAATGCAAAAATGAACCAGACTGTCTGCACCTGACGATCATTCTGGCACCAATTCTAGCCCCCCCCCCCCCCCCCCCCCCCCGTACAATGCACAGGAAGTGACTCCCTAAATCCAGTCTGACCCTTAAATGAGTCGTGCTGCCCACAAATCAGACATAAATGGGCTCAGATCAACAGGATATTCACCAGCTCTACATGCTTTAAGGTTTCAAACACTTTCATTAGCTGTGATATAATGTTGATCAGGCAACTATTAAGGAAATGGATTACCTGCTGTTCCTGTCATTTCTTTTTGTGGTTTCGATATGTGGCAAATGGTGTTTATCACACTTTAAATTGATTATTAAAATGTTTTCCCGCTTCCTAATCTGGGGTAAATGCACACATTTTCAGTTTTATTGTCTATCTTTGGCAAAGAAGATCATTGTAAAGACAGCCTTGCATCTAAACTGGCACAGTAATAGTTCAAAGATTGTTTTTCTGGATTCTCGACCCACCACAGGAAGTCTTTCTCTTGTTCATGCTGCTTTAATTCACTAAAGGACCCAGACCCTTTCACGAGATATGCAGCCACAACATTAATGTTCATTGGATGCAGATACACTTGCTTCATGGTTTCTATGCTGTTGTCTTTGTGGACTATGTTACTATAACTCTGGGCTTTGTGTAAATCCTTAAGATGTAATGGGTAAACATTACTAACCTATAATCTTCCGAGTGTAGACGGTAGTCTAATCATTGCGGAGATATCTTTTTACACTCATGCTGTTTATTTTACACCACTTATATTTTAATGAGGCCGTGTAGTGATAAGCTTTAAAGAGTAACCGCTCTGTTTCTGTCCCCAGCGCAACAGGGCGTCCATGCGGGAGCTGGCCGTCGGGCAGAGGGTGATCTGCAAATACAGAAACGGCCGGTACTACCACAGCGAGGTGGTGGAGCTGACCACAGCCACCTTCTACGAGGTGGTGTTCGACGACGGCTCCTACAGCGACAACCTCTTCCCAGAGGACATTGAGGTTAGTACAAATGCTGTTAATCAAAGTATAGTTAGAGGCAGATAAGCTGATATAATTCCATATTTAGTTAAACTCCTCTCGTAATACACAGCCCGAGTTCACCATTCACTCTCTTTTCAGAGCCGTGACTGCGCGCGCCACGGCCCCCCCACCCAAGGTGAAGCAGTTCAGGTGCGATGGACAGACGGGTTGATATATGGAGCCAAGTTCATGGCGTCGCACTCCATCCCCATGTACCTGGTAAAGCCCCCGTTTAGATCTGGCTGTCTCTTTCTATCTCACTGACTGCTTCTAAAAGGCTTCATCAGTTATGTTTCTGAACCTCCACATATGGGGGGTTTGTGTGGTCAAAAGTATAAATGTTAAGACTCAAAAGAAATACACCTACTACTTGTCCATGCGATATTTTATAGTAAAATGCTTTTATGTGGTTGACATGATTATGCTGTTTGTCCTGTGGTTATGTTTGGTGGTCTATTAGAGAGAATGTATGATGTGACACAGCAGCCTGCTTTTATTTGTGGATTACTGGTTAACACTTAAAGTTAAATAGAAAGTGTGTACACTTTACATATGAAAGATTGTTTATCTAGTTCCTTTTTTTACTAAGTATACGTTGCACATTTCATGTCATGGTTCCCCCTGATCCCTGAAATAATGGAATATAAAATTGAGTGTCCTTTGAAAGATGTCTTAAATAGACACAAGTCACTGAACGTGTTTACATTTCATTTTTCTAATACTAAGACCTTTTTTTTGTAAAGCCTGTTTTTTTTTCTCGCTTTTTAAAAATACTCAGTGTTGTGACTGTTAACCTTTACCAGTATCTCAAACCATGCAATGCTGGCTCCTTACACTTTACAGAAGGTGTAGGATAACTGATATGTTCATTGGGGATTTAATGTAGTGTGTGTGTGTGTGTGTGTGTGTGTGTGTGTGTGTGTGTGTGTGTGTGTGTGTGTGTGTGTGGTGTGTGTGTGTGTGTGTGTGTGTGTGTGTGTGTGTGTGTGGTGTGTGTGTGTGTGTGTGTGTGTGTGTGTGTGTGGTGTGTGTGTGTGTGTGTGTGTGTGTGTGTGATGTGTGTGTGGTGTGTGTTGTGTGTAGTGTGTGTGTGTGTGTGTGTGTGTGGTGTGTGTGTGTGTGTGTGTGTGTGTGTGTGTGTGTGTGTGTGTGTGTGTGTGTGTGTGTGTGTGTGTGTGGTGTGTGTGTGTGTGTGTGTGTGTGATGTGTGTGTGTGTGTGGTGTGTGTGTGTGTGTGTGTGTGTGTGTGTGTGGTGTGTGTGTGATGTGTGTGTGTGTGTGTGTGGTGTGTGTGTGTGTGTGTGGTGTGTGTGTGTGTGTGTGTGTGTGTGTGTGTGTGTGTGTGTGTGTGTGTGTGTGTGTGTGTGTGTGTGTGTGTGTGTGTGTGTGTGTGTGTGTGCAGGTGGAGTTTGAGGATGCCTCACAAATCTCTGTGAAGCGAGAAGACATCTATACTTTAGAAGAGAATCTGCCCAAACGAGTGAAGTCCCGACTGGTAATTTGACATTTTATCATCAGAAGGTCTCTTTTATGATAAGACAGCGTTATATGAAATGTGTGAGCACTGCCAGGCACTAATGTCTCTTCCTGATGTTTGCTCCTCAGTCGGTGGCGTCAGACATGCGCTTCGAGCTCTTTTCTCAGAGCAACGTCAAGCAGAACACCAAAAGGCAACGAGTCATCAACTCGCGGTACAGAGAGGACTACATCGAGCCCGTCATTTACCGAGCCATCATGGAGTGATCCCTCTTCCTCCTCCTCCTCTTCCTGCTCCTCCTCATCAACTCCCCACAGAGATGCAGCTCCAGGTTTCTGGTTCTCAGTTTCTGGCTACTGCTCATAGGAAACGCCCCCCCACTCCTCTTCCTCCCACTTCTCCTTCTTCCGTGGCTTGTCAGGCTACATATTTATGAACTACGGCTGGGACTTAAAAAGACTTTTGTCTGCATCAAATACTATTCTTTGACCTGCGTTTCCCATCACACATCCCATGTAAATCATCAATTTCATTGTTTTTTTTTCTTTTTCTCAGGAAGAAGCCATCAATCGATTATTAAATATAGGAACGTTTGAATCAGGGGCTAGATATATTGTTTCCTCTACCACCCCATTTAGGACAGTTTTCTACTTGTGACAATTCTTCTACAATGATCACTTCGCTCTTGATTTACAGCCCCAGGTTGTTATCATAATCATTTATCATAATTTGTGTTGAGGTTTTAAAGGATTATTCTGTTTTCTACTCATGAGGTTTATCAAAGCCAATCACCTGTTGACTAGGAAAAAAAAACTAATAAATTCATCAAGAACTGTTTTAGTTGCGTCCCCAAAGAAATGAAATAATATCTCAAGGTCATCTTTTGACACATCTCCAGATTGTTGAAGTGATGCCATGCATGGAGTGATAATTTATTATGCTCATAGGTGTCAATGTGCGTCTACTGTGAAAATAGAAAAAAAAACTAGACATGTTTGGAAGGCCCAAGCCTTAGATTTCCAAGGGCCAGGCATACTTTGTTTTTTCAAAAAGCTTAAGGTTTATTAAAACTATTGTAATTAATGTTATTATTACACTTTATTTATGCATTAAATTTGAAAACAAAGCTATTTTTGTCATGTCCTTTTCACGATCTGTAGAAAACCTAAGATGTATTTATATTTATTATATTGATGGGTTTTCAGACAGCCTGATTTACAGATCGCCCTCCTGTTCTGAGATCAGAGGGTGAGAACGCCAATCTGGCTCAAGTCCCTCTCCAAGCGAAAAGCACTTATTTGTACCTCCTGCCTGCCACAGGAGATGTACCATTTTGTCCACACATGGCCTCCACCTAAATTAGATTTTTTTGTGTTTCTGATAAAGGTTAGCTCAAGATGTACATTGTTCTAGGTTGATCCCAAATAAATGAAAAGATGAAAGGATCCCATTCAAGTTTTCTTTTTGTTGATTCCTGAAAATGTTGTGTTCTCAGGAGGAAGTGTTCGTAGCACACCGTTTCAGTTATATGTTTCATGGCTACTGTTGTCTTATTTGCTTTCATTTTGTTCAAAGCAGCATCAAATCTGTAAACATTGACACTTTTGAGTAAAGTTGGAGTAAGAATTGACTTTCTCTACATGTACCACACTTGGAAACGAGCAGATAAAAGTGCTGATATGCAGGCAGGTCTCTGCGTTTTCTTCCTTTTTCTTATGTTTTTGAAACAGCGGTGTATTCTGCCTCAGCCGGAGGGCCTGCAGCTGTCGGAGCACGACGAGTCTTGACTGCTGCTGGAATTTGATTTGACGGATGGCTCCTGGCTCTCCGTTACACTGCACTCTTCACAATCTCTATAAACTATGGGTTTTTCGAAGAGTCAGATTCATTATAGCTCTACCAGTGTCTTGCTGAAATATGTAAACTTTGCTGAGACGGTAATTATCCGGCATGTTCTGGCATATAACCTTTACACACAAATACTTGGGGGGCGTGATGCTCAAAAACAGGTGAGAAAGTTAAGCATGTCGGAGAGTGCATCTAAACCAGTTCAGAAATATGTTGTCACATAATTTGGTACGTTAGATATTTACCCCTGAGGTGCATGCTCCTCTTCACATTACACGTCGTAATGCTGCCTATGAGCCTTAAATCTATCATGAATGGCAACAGTATTGAACGTTATTTGGAGGAGAGCCACATACTTCTTTTTCACACACAGAATCAAGCTGCTTTTAAAGAAGCTATATTAATGTTGTCTGACTTAGAAAGGTAAATTCCATGTGATTCAACCTATAACATAAGAAGCTAATAAAATATTTACATCAGGTCGACTTCAAAAGGTGAATATATCGGAATTTTTGAAAGTCGCCCAGCCTGCAACTCTTAAAAATGTCTTATCTGAGTGTTTATATGCATTTTAAATAGTGAAGTAATTAAAAACATATATATATTGCTTTGTGAATATATATAGATAGTTGGACAGTGGATTTGGTTAAAAAAAAAAGGAAGATTTGCTCTAATCCTTTACTAGATCATACTTTCTGCTTACATATCAATGTGTACTATAACTAGCCTGAAAGAGTGGGTAGTACTTCAAACAAGTTTCTGACTGAGTTTAACCATGGGCACAGAGTTGTGAGTTTTGGTATATTGATTATTTGTGTGCCCTGAAGAGATAAACATAGTTCTTTGAAAAATGTGCAAAGGGAATCAAGCTTGTGTATTTAACAATCTGAAGTTTTACTGAAATGTCTCTGGGGAATTTTTGCCGAACTTCATTTTAAAGCAAATCCCCCCCCATGATGCCATTTCAGTAAACTTCCTTGGTGTAACCTTAAAATTCTGCTGAAGGTTCGACATAAAAGTGCGCAGTGAGGTTTGAAGTGGTCATTGACTTGTGGGCTGGCAGTGAGAAATAAGTACCGACTTCTTGCTTTCCTCACTTTCATACAATACCTCTGCCCTCACTGTTACTTCCTCTAAATCTCTTATGATGAGAAAGAAAAGCCACTGTGACGCATCGAGGCAGGTATTCCCCTGTTTTGGTTTTCAAGCCTCTGTTGGTTGGCATTTGGTTTTGTTATTATGCGTGTCTTGGTCTTGTTATCTGATGGTGTGATAATCTACGCTAGTCCTTGGTTTCACACAATTAGCTGATACTTGCCCTCATATTCTTTGGCAGGGTTTGACACCAAGTTCAGATTATAAAATGTTAACTGCATAGTTACCTACGCTAGTGGCATGGCCTTATACATGTCAATGGCGGCGTTGTGTCTAGATGGTAATCCTCCATTTGAAAAACGATCCTAACCTTTCTCCATAGGGTTACCATACATACAGTGCATCCGGAAAGTATTCATACCCCTTAACTTTTTTCTAAATGGATTAAATTCATTTTTGTTCTCAATATCCCACACACAATACCCCATAATGACAAAGCGAAAACGTTTTTAAAGAATTTTTTGCAAACATATTAAAAATAATTTCATTAAATATCACATGTACATAAGTATTCACACCCTTTGATTTGACACTGAAAATTGAGCTCAAGTGCATCCCGTTTCCACTGATCATCCTTGAAATGTTTCTATTACCTGATTGGAGTCCACTTGTGGTAAATTCAATTGATTGGACATGACTTAGAAAAGAACACACCGGTCTATATGAGGTCCCACAGTTGACAGTGCACATCAGAGCACAAACCAAGTCATGAGGTCCAAGGAATTGACTGTAGACCTCAGAGACAGGATTGTATCAAGGCACAGTTCTGGGGAAGGGTACAGAAAAATGTCTGCAGCATTGAAGGTCCCAACGAGCACAGTAGTCTCCATTATTTGCAAATGGAAGATGTTTGAAACCACCAGGGCTCTTCCTAGAGCTTGCTGCCCAAACCAAACTGAGCATCGGGGGAGAAGGGCCTTGGTCAGAGAGGTGACAAAGAACCTGATGATAGAGCTCCAGTGTTCCTCTGTGGAGATGGGAGAACCTTCCAGAAGGACAACCATCTGTGCAGCACTCCACCAATCAGGCCTGTATGGTAGAGTGGCCAGAAGGAAGCCACTCCTCAGTAAAAGGCACATGAAAGCCCACATGGAGCACCTAGAGGACTCTCAGACCATGAGAAACCAAATTGTCTGGTCTGATGAAACCAAAATGGATCTCTTTGGCCTGAATGCCAAGCATCATGTCTGGAGGAAACCAGGCACCGCTCATCACCTGGCCAATACCATCCCTACAGTGAAACTTGGTGGTGGCAGCTTCATGCTGTGAGGATGTTTTTCAGCAGCAGGAACTGGGAGACTAGTCAGAATCAAGGGAACGATGAATGCAGCAATGTACAGGGAGATCCTTGATGAAAACCTGCTCCAGAGTGCTCTGAACCTCAGACTGGGGCAAAGGTTCACCTTTCAACAGGACAACGACCCTAAGCACACAGCCACGATAACAAAGGAGTGGCTTCAGGACAAGTCTGTGAATGTCCTTGAGTGGCCCAGCCAGAGCTCTGAGAGATCTGAAAATGGCTGTGCACCGACGCTTCCCATCCAACCTGATGGAGCTTGAGACAATCTGCAAAGAAGAATGTGAGAAACTGCCCAAAGATAGGTGTGCCAAGCTTGTAGCATCATACTCAAGAAGACTTGAGGCTGTAATTGCTGCCAAAGGTGCTTCAACAAAGTATTGAGTAAAGGGTGTGAATACTTATGTTTATGTGATATTTGAGTGTTTTATTTTTAATTCATTTACAACAAATATTTAAAAACTTTTTCCACTTGGTCATTATGGGGTATTGTGTCTCGAATGTTGAGAAAAAAAATGAATTTAATCCATTTTGAAATATGGCTGTAACATAACAAAATGTGGAAAGAGTGAAGGGGTATGAATACTTTCCGGATGCACTGTATAAGACAAGGTTGTTTGGTCTTATTTAGGGATTTTTACAACATTTTACAAATACTGCTATCTGTGGACACCAGTAACTCTTCCTCAGTGCCAGTTTGAGGTCTAATTTTGTGATTAAGATTGAAAGCATCTACTGAATGGACTGTAAATGTACGTGTATTTTGGGTATAATTGTCACGGTGATACTTTGCATAAAGCGACAGTGTCACGTCAAAAGTGATACTGTCGCTTATCCTCTAATACCAAATACATGTAAAGCTGATTTTCAGCACGCTAACATTGTCATTGTGATAATGTTAAGATGCTCAGTCAAGCATGTACTCTATGTGTATTTTATCTCATGAAACAACCAGTGCTGTTCAATGGTAAATGGATATGGTATCAGTCAGTAAACCACCTGCAGCCAGACGCCTCTGCTGAGTGTCTCTACTGGCTCTATGCCCATCTTCCACATCTATCATGTACTGGCGATGAAACACATACACCTCTTTGGAGGTTGGAGGACTATACCATCTGTTGGGAGTGGCAATGGAAAGAACGAGCTACTGTGTGGTTAAGGTCAACAAATATGATGCATGCGCTACAATGGAACATCCCTAACAACAAAGGGAGTTGTATGTGGAGTAATAGAGAAGGGTGTATGTATCTTGTCTGAATAGACCAGTGTCACGTTAACTCGTCGTACCAGTTTCTCTACAGCCCGTCCAAATGGCCTGAAGGGAAGCTCCGATCAGATGACAGCGCTCTTATTTACTGTAAATAAAACCATACTTCTGCCAACTGAAAACAGCATCTGAACTGTAAGTATCCAGAAAGATTGTACTGACCTTTGTTGTAATTAATATGAGGTACGAGAACTGCAAGTTATTATTACTTATTGCAGAGGTGGAATAAGTACTCAGATATTTTACTTAAGCAAAAGTAGAAATACTACAGGTAAAAGTCCTGCATACAAAATCTTACTTAAGTAGAAGTACAAAACAGTTGGCAACACAATATAATTATAGTACCAAAAGTGAAAGTACGTATTGTGTGTGATGTCACATTTTAGAATCATATCTAATAAATGACTGGATTATTATAATTTATCCATAATGTGTTCATCACTGCTGATAAATGAATAGCTAATTTAATTAGTTTATATACTGCTGGATATCTCAACCTATAATCATATATCAGAGTTTATTTATATTTAGTATTAGCCAATAATCTGATGTAAAGTAAATAGTAACTCATTTTGTTAAACAATTACAGTATTTATCATTTTAGAATTAGCTGCGGGTCAATTAAAAATGGACCATGGGCAGCAGTTGGCCCCCGGGCCGTAGTTTGGACACCACTGACCTAGATGCTCAAAAACAAATGCCTCCGGTGTTGGACTGAGGCAGTTTTTTTTTAATAAACCTTCATTTTTTATCTCAAGTACACCTCTGTAGAGATTAGTGACTGTTACTTACACCTTTGCAACGCTAAAGCTTGGACAGACGCACAGAGGGACAACCAGACGGGTGGAGAGACACACACACACACACACACACACACACACACACACACACACACACACACACACACACACACACACACACACACACACACACAGTGAAGACCCTGGCTTTTTGTTTTCATACCAGCGCTCTATCTCTCCGCAGGCGTCCATAACTAAAGTATGGCAGCATCTTCTTCCCCCCCCCCCCCCCCCTGTGCTCTGTGACCCCGCAGCTGTGGCTCCCTCAGGTCCCTCTGTTAGTGGGTATTATTGTGTGCACCCGCCTCAGACCAGTCA